AAATAGAAATGGTCATCACTAACTTACTATACACATCCTGAAATCCAAAAGCAGGTCCATCAAGCCACCTACAAAATCCCCAAAACCCGTGCGTCAGGCACACCTTCGACCCGGTTGCTTTGGTGTGGTCGGACCACTCACCCGCAGATCGCAGTGTTGCGCCGACGAAGCGGTGGGAGCTGTTTCAAAAAGGCTTTGGAAGGTCATAAGTGTGGTATAAGAAGCGAGGGTTTTGCAGTGTTCAGGGTTAGGTGATTCAGCGTTTGTTGTTGTTGTCCTGTGTTTTGGGGTTTCAGGGCTGGGGAGGGGTTGAAGTTCCCAGACTCGGAGAGGCTTCTGAGGCTCTTCGACCTACGAAGAGAGAAGGTAAGACACTCTTAGAGGTATGTCTTGGTACTGTCTTGGTAAAGCCCTATAAACCCCAAACCCCAAACTCTTGCAGATGGTTGCCACGTTGGGGGGGTCTTTTTTGAGCCTTGGAGCTGGCGATCCCCGGAAGCAGCTTCCGCAGTACTCAAGTGCTTTAGTTAGGGTTGAGGGGTTTAGAGTTCAATTAGGGGTTTAGGGTTTAGGTTCAATTTGGGGTTTAGGGTTTAGGGGTTGTTAAGAAAAGGGGCTTAGGGCTTGATTCTTTCGTCATGCATTTCGAAGGTAAACAGTGTTGGGTTTGAACAGACTCGGATAGACAAGTGGATAGAAAGTCCAAGATCAAGGAAGGTTTGTCTAGACAGACAAGCGGGAAGAGAGGAACAGAGAGATCAATGGACAGATCGATACACAGAAGATTGAATACCAGCATGCAGCCACTGCTCGCACCTGAGCACAGCATTGCATTGCCCTCTTACCCGTGCCTGCCTTGCGCGAGTGTGCGAGTCGAAACCCTCGCTCACGCATCGTCGCTTTGGGTTCCATGGAGGCTTCTGCGCAGATGTGGCTTTCATAAAGCGAATGCTCAAGTCCAACCTCGTGCGACAGGTGGGGGCACTCAGTCTGCGAAGCGCCTGGTGGCGTGGATGCAAATATGAGTCCCTCAACCCAAAACCGTAAACTGCCGTAAGCCCGAAGCAGCCTTCAAACGATGCACTGGGGTTTCTGTGGCTGACTGTCCGATCAAAGTAGAGCCCTCCAGCCTCTCCAGACGTTAGGAAGTTGGGCTCCTACAGTCTTAGACCCAGTGTGAGAGCCTAGATCGGTTTGAGTCCTGCCGAGGGTGCAGGGAAAGAGAGAGAGAGAGAGAGCCTTAGCGCTCAATCTCAGGAGTCTTCCGAGAGTGTATAGAGATTTCCAAAGTTTTCTGGCAGATTGTGCGGCCCAGGGCCCCTTGGCTTTCTTTCCATGTGTACTTCTCTCGTATTTCATCGGCAAGTGCGTGCACACTGCCCATTGGGGGTCCACACTCGGAAAACTCGCGATACAAGGACTTGCGGTGCAGGGTATATAGAGACCCTTTTCCAGTAAGCATCCGATGCAGAGCCCGCGGCGCATGCTTTAGGGTGTAGAGGTATAGGGTGAAAGGACGCATGCTCCTTGTGGTGGGCGGCTTTGACTCGAAGCACAACCTTCGCGATACCTGGGCTTACTCCACAGAGGAGCCGCTGACCTTCGTGGTTAGAGCAGTTTAGGGATTTAGGGGTCGTTGTCTTGGGTTCAGGCTGCTGGACTTAGTCCCGAGTCCCTGTGTGCTTGGGATCTCCGCGGCTTGCAAACCTTTCTGCGGGTTTAGACATCGAGGCTCAGCGCTTTTGGAGGGCTTCATGCAGACAGGGTGCAAGGTTTTGGGCCTAAGCTAGGAACTACACCAATCGCACCACCGACATGATATCGTTGCTTTCATATGCAAACATTTATTTGCGCATGCATACATACATACACATACAAATTTCGGGTTTCGGGTGCTTTACTTTGCGGTCCTATGAAGGATCCTACTACGTAGGGTCCAGATCTAGGGGCTTCGCTGGCCGTCTGCACCCCAAGACGATTTCTTGGCATCGGGAACACCCAGCCTGGGCTTAACTCGCATAGCTTCCGTAATGTTTACAGCCAACTACACATGAGTACACATGTCAATGGCTCGTTCTGGTTTTCTTCCATGAGGCCGTGTTTCTACCTGAAAGGACGGCACCTTTGCAGAGCTTTGCGACGACCTCCAGGTTTTCGGCGCATACCACTCCCTGGCCTTTGAGCAGAAGCATGTCTACACCGTTTCTTCTTCAGTTTTTCTTGATGTCGGTCGGGTTCAATTAAGTTCTGCTGTCGTGGCGAGATGTAAAGATCTTCTGGTCCCTTGGGATCTTGGTAGGTTTGGCATTGTCTTGCTGGGTTTTCAGGTTCACAGACCGGGGCAAAACGGGCAAGGCGGCCAGAGCCCCAGGAGACCCAGGCCACAGTTGTTATCTCTCTCACACAAGGATGTTCAGGGCTAGTCCGGGGAAAGAGGGCCGTGCCTCCCTAAAAAAGAACAGACGTCGCAAAAGTTAGTCCATGATGCGCGCTGCAGCCACTCCTCAAAAAACCTCAGGGGGCGCAAGCTGCCACAACATCGCCATGGGATGTCATAGGTCCCCTGTCATAGGTTTCGGCACCCTAATCCCGAAACCCCTGAACTGTAAGGTGTTCAAACCCGATGCAATTTGGGCCCTATATGCAATGGCCCGCAAGAACGGCAGGAGTACAGCTTTGTGAGGGCAGTTTATGCTGAGATCAAAGGAAGAGCAGCCGAGCCGTTCTCTTTGGTGGCCAGTGCTGCGTCAACGGGCCGTATGAGTACTTCCAGGATGCAGCACGGCCTTGCTCCAGAGCTTCGGATTCTCGGGTATAATAGCGTGCCATATAATATAGAGACCAACTATGCTATTAATTAGAAGTTTGGAGGTGAGGCTTCAGCGTTTAGAGTAGGGTAGAGGCGAGATTTGCTCTTTGGGGTTTGGGATTTAGGGTTCAGGAAGGGTTGATTGAACCACAAAGCTCTAGGAGTTTTGGTCAGAGGTTCACACCCTGCAGTTCGAAGAGGACCAAGAAGAAGGCCTGCGACGTGCGGAAGCATCGAAATTGAAAGACAGAGCCTCCAGTCCCAAGTTGGGGGTTTGCCTAGTGGCTGAGGACCAACTCTGCAGCTGATCGATTGTCTCGCAATCTAGGCAGAATCTAGGCACATCCAGCCGTAGCCAGCAGCGCATGGATTCTAAAAGGATCTCTCGCCCTGCTCAGACAGCTGTCAGCAGAAAGTGCCCAACAATTCCTTCGCCTTGTGGAGCATCTTTTTCCATGGATCGCCACGCTCTAGACTCCCAACAGGAAGGCATCTCGCAACTATTGGCATGTTCGTTCTCGTTCATGCGCCTGTCCCTTCTATGCGCTCTAAACTCTGAGGCCCCGGAGCTCCTTGAGGCCTTCTTAACCAAAAAAGCCGGCATCCCCAAACCCTCAAGGCAGTCGGCTCCGCTCGCCCAACACCTGCTACTGTAAATGTCCAAATTCGAAACACTGACTTCTGGCCCCCTGTAAAATCCCGTGAGCCCCCTTACACCGTGAATCCAGCGAAGCCTCATAGCACTATAGACGTCCCCTGAACATGCTTCTGACGCATTGCGAAGCCCTCTCAACGCCCAACTTGAACTCCCGTATGCATGCCCCTCAAACCCGTGTATAGAAACCACCCCCTGAGACTAGAGGCCCCCGGCAGAAATGCACGCCTTCAGCAGGTTGGAACCGGATTCCCATCAGCGGGCCTAAGCCCAGCTGCCGAGCTCAGCACGGAGCCATCATCCGAGGACTCGAAAACACACGCATAATGAGCAAAGTATCAAGAATAGTAACGATGCGATCAACAGCAGTAGCAGCTAGAATTGATTGGTTGTTCGTCTTTTGGGTGCAGGGGTTTAGGGCTTGAGGGGAGAGGGGTTGCAATGGGCCATAATGGGCCTGGATGCCAAAGAGGAGAGGGGTTCAGGAGTTTTGGGGCTTCTATCCCATTGATCAACGGCACAGGAGGGGCCATGATCATGTACGGCGGCGCAAACAATGTGCAACAGTCCCTCGTCTTTAGAGAACCATTCGCTGAGCTGAGTGTTCCAAAAGTCTTCGGTTTGAGCTCGATTGTAAGGCCGGCGAGGTATTCTTCAGGCCTGGTATGGGTGAGAGTTGGTTGGCGATTGGGGTCACGAGGTCTATGGAACCTGTCTGTGCCCTTGCAAGCTCATAGGTGGAAGTAAGGTCTACGTAATTGGGTTGCACACTTTCGGTGAGGGTTGATGTTTAACGCTTCTTGACGTCTCGGGGGGGTAAGTTGGACTGGGTGTTGCTGAGCAGTGTTGCTGCTTCAACAGCGAAGCCGCAACGGGTTTTGGACGACCAGTGAGGTTCAACGATGTGTGGCTACTGGATCTTCTTCACCATGCCTGGACAGAGATACGGCCAGAGAGGTCAGCTGCCTTGGAGCCCGTGGTGTCAGGGATTTCAGGTTGCAGTGTATCGGACCTTGATTTCTTTTGCTGAATGAGGACTTTTGGGCGCTGGGGCGGGGCCCCCAATGGGGACAGCTGAGGGCTCCACAACGCCTGGACCATGGTGAGCTGTAGGTTTTTTTATCTCAATTCGTGAGCCGGGTCGGGCTGTGCCACCCATCACTGCGTGCTTGCTGAGGTTTTAGTGGGTTCTGCCGATTCTTCAATCCACCGTAAAGAAACACTTCCCCGAACGTTCAAAGACCCCTCGAACGGCACATGTTGCGCAACATCTAAGTCTAAGTTGCCACAGCGAGTCATGAATTTATGCATGCGTATGGGCGTGTCAGACAATAAGGGGCCTTAGTAAAGACTTCAAGCAGAGATTCCTTACTATATATAAAGCCCCCGAAGTTGAGAAACTCCATATATTCGTGGATCTCATGACGGCAGATACCTATATCTATACATATATATATAGATGGACCTTGCATGAACGCGGAAAGCCTGGCCACCTGGTCAGAGGCAAGCAACAGAATTTTATGACGATCGGATCTTTTTGGTTTGGATACAGCTGACATGGTGACTGTTGCCCTGGTTCAGAGCTGTTGCTGAATCGCTTGTGGCGCAGTCACAAGCGATGCGGACCTCCTTGACGCTGTTCTAATGCCAGTTTCTTTCCACGTTCCCGATTTTCGCAACCCGTAGCCTGCGACCAAACAAACCACAAATGAATTGCCCCAGACATCATGCATCCTAGGTCCTAATTGATTACAAGCTTTCAACGGACAAAACCGTTTTCAAAAGACCACGCATGATGTTTGTTTTTTAGTGACACTGCAATGTAACCTTTAACCTGAGACCCCCCCCCCCCCCCCCACACCTTTTGCAAATTCAGTTTCGTCAGGCTCAGCGTGCTACCGCCGCCGGTCGAGACGCGAATCGAGGAGCAACATTTTCGAGCGACCTGGTAAGCTGGTACAATATATACTACAATTTTCTGTAATATATAATATAGTAAATATAGTAATATAGTGTATATATAAGTAAGCTGCATGGTAAGGCTCCTACAGGGGTTTTGATGGCTCTTTGTTTGAACATGCAAGGTTGAAGGACCGCAGTGGGCCTTTCAAAAACTGATAGGCCCCTACTTCACGCAGGCCATAAGTGAAGGATCCTGGTTGTAAAGACCCTTATCCCTCGCTCTGCATGAATGAACGAAAGACTCATTTCCGTGACTTTCTTCTGGGAACAAGAGGAACAAAGGGCTCCTGAATGAAAAGGTGCTCGAGGTCGGAAATTCCTTGGGATTGGGGTCATGCTTTGCTTTTGTTTTGCTCGTGGGATCTTCAGCAACCTCCACTCCACACACGGATCCTGTGGCATTTCCACGGTGACCAACCAAAACCTGCTTGAGACCAGAGGCTTTCCTTGCTTGGGCTTTTTGTCAAGCTGAAGCGAATCGTAGGGTTGATTTTAAGCCCCAGGGCAGAAAAGAACATATCCCAATATCCTACATTCTCAACCCGGCCCTCGTTGATGCGACTTCTGTTCCGGGTGTCGGGCAGCCTAGCTTTGGGCTAGCACCGGCTTCGGGCTCAAGGTTCAGGGTTAGGGTTTAGGGTTTGGGAGCGCGAGCTCCAATCAAGCCTGTGGAGGGCCAATGTAACAACAGGGGGAATGCAGGCTCTCGTCTCGTCCTCTGTAGTTTCGGCGCTTGTTCATGCGCTTCTGGTGTTTGCCTGCCGGCCTGCACCTCCGTGCACGTTCTCTGGGTGTGCAACTCGATGTGCTGCGAACTGTGCATTTGCCAGTGGGAACGAAGCTGGCGGGGCAGCCAGGAGGATGTGACGAAGACCGAAGACCTGTACTGCAAGAAGCACCAACAGAGCTCTTCAAAACATGGAGGGACGCCGTCCTCCTGAAATCTCTTCCTCCTTTCAAGTCTAGGCATGAGACCCGAGATCGAAACCTTCCGTGTTCCTGCGTATGTACGGGAAAACAGCTTCAAAGGAAATTCGTCAGGATGTGCTTTGAGGCTTTTGAACTCCCCCGCTCCCGAGGGTCAAATCCGAAGCCTCGAAAGTTCGACGTGCGTTTTTCAGGTGAAGTCCTGCCGAAGCATTATCGCCCTCCGAGGCATGTAACTTGGCAGCCTTGGCCGCGTCCACGTTTTGGGCTTTCTTCGCGCAGTTTACGCATGATTGTGCAGCATTTGGGCTATACCCAGCTGCGAGCCGGTAGTGAATATGTGGCGTTGCGCTTGGATGATCCTCGGGAACGAAGGTCCAAATCGACGTGTGCGATCGCGTTCAATCGACAAGTCGAGATCCTTTTATACTGTCGTCATCTTCAGCTGTCATAATCATGCCTTGGAAGTGATTCTGGTCCTTGTGGCCTTTGAGAGCTTTGAAAGCTGCTTTTGGTGAAGATGTTTATTGCGCAGGTTTCAGGCGTGATGGTTCGGGCGGTTCAGGCGTGAATGACTGTATCCCCAAATCCAACTCCGAACAAGATGCAGAAAGCTGCTTTCATTCAGTAGAGGTTCATCCTTATAATTCAAACCCATTCAGAACCTGGTGTATCCTGGCCCGGAATTGCTAGATGTCCGAACATCGACCCTATCAAGGTTTAGGGTTTTGGGGTTCAGGGTTCGTCAATCTTGATGAGTCGCATGAGTGATGCGGGATGTGGGCAGTTCGCCCGCTTGCCTCTGTGAATTCGAAATGAAAGTTGAGCGACCTCAATATCAACAACAGTCAGGTTTCGGCAACAGAGACGTGACTGTAACCGCACCGAATGACTCACTGTCCGAGGCAATTGCTAGTGCTGGGCCGCGCCCGAAAGCCCGCCACAGGCCGTTGGGGCCTCTACTCGCCACTTGGATAGCAGCGGCTAGGAAGGACCGTGAGGGAGTGTCACGATGATGACGATGCCACTTTGGCACTGATGAGTCCGATATACGCTGGCAGCGCTTGGTTGCCAATCTGCGGGCGGCAGACACTGGGGGCAAGCATGTTGGTGGGTCGTTGTGTTTGCGCGTCACGCTGGTGTTTCACATGTTATGCTATAACGTGCTTTATCTTTACTTATTTACCCCTAGTTATCGTGAAATGGCAGGCGCTCTGGGTTTGTATGGCAGTACGACGACGACTACTACTACTACTACTACCACCGTCAGCATCCTGAGTCCCATCAATTTCATATTTATCCTTGCAGAGCTTGCGGGGAAGGTTCCGGGAGGGTCGCATCAACTCTTCTTAAATCCGTGCCAGTACTTGGTGTGTCCCATGATTCGCAGAGCTAGACGAACGTCATCGTGCTAAGACACTTCCGAACCCTGCCCTTAAGGAGCTGCTTCTTGTGCCAAGCTGCGGTGCTTGGAAGCCATTCTGGCTTCGTTCCAATCGCTAAGTGAACCCTCAGCCCAAACCCAACCTTAAAGTGCACTTGTTGCCTAAAGCTTCGTTTTTGGACCTCACCTTCCTATGTAGATTTCGGGTATCTCGAAGGTATCTCTAGGGTATCTCAAGAATACCCCAAATTTCCCAGATTTTTCGGACTAGGTCTACTCCCAACGCAGTAACGACAGCACTTACAAGCCTTTGGGGAGTAGCCTTTCAGGTTAACAGCCTTTCACAGCACTCCCGGGACCGCTGTTCAAAGCATAAACACTTGAAATGCCCGACGGAATGATCTGTTTCATAGCTCGCCGGACGGAATGATCTGCTGAATAGCTCTCTCGGGACCGCTGCTAAAGGCTTAAACACTTGAAATGCCCGACGGAATGATCTGTTTCATAGCTCGCCGGAAGGAATGATCTGCTGAATAGCTCTCTCGGGACCGCTGCTCAAGGCTTAAACACTTGAAATGCCCGACGGAAAGATCTGTTTCATAGCTCGCCGGACGGAATGATCTGCTCAATAGCTCTCTCGGGACCGCTGCTCAAGGCGTAAACACTTGAAATGCCGGACGGGAAGATCTGTTACATAGCTCTCCCGGAACCGCTGTTCAAAGCGTAAACACTTGAAATGCCCGACGGAATGATCTGCTGAATAGCTCTCTCAGGACCGCTGCTCAAGCCGTAAACATGCGTAAACACTTGAAATACCGGACGGAATGATCTGTTGCATTCTCGGGACCACTGTTCAAGTCGTAGCCACTTGAAATGCCGGACGGAATGATCTGTGTCATAGCTCTGTCTCGAAACTGCTGTTCAATTCGTAAACACTGGAAATGCCCGACGGAATGATCTGTTCCATAGCTCTTTGGGAACTGCTGTTCAAGGCATAAACACTTGAGGCGGTTGACATAATGATCTGTTTCATATAGCTCTCTCGAGACCGCTGTTCAAAGCGCAAACAGGTGATTGCCAGGACCCTGCCGCGACCCCCTCCTTGCGCTCTGTTCAAAGGGATTCGATTCGTACACGGAAACAAGAATGCAAGGACTTCAGCGCTTGGGAGTCCGAGTTGTGAAGGTGTAAACACATAATTCCCACCTTACACATCCTTACACCATAGTGAATCCCAGAACGCTGGAACATGGATGTAGGATGATGCGTGCTGGGATCCCTGTTGCTTAAGGGCATGAGGATAATGATGTTCCAACTTTCTGGCTTCTACTTGGTTACTTTAATAAGCCCCACAGCTCGAAAAACGTTGCTCTGCCTATAGCCGAGGTTCGACTTGCACAGTGCCTGCTGGAAGGTGGCTGCTTCGGGTTTTAGTGATCATGAGGCATGCTCAAACATTCAGGCCATTACACAAGTTCTGATGCAAAAAGTGATCATGAGGTTGCGGACTTAGGATTTGGAGCTAAACCCTAAACCGGTTTTTTTGAACTCGAGATAATTGGTTGTTGACTGGGTCCCAGTGCATGTATAGATACCGCGAAAAAGGTGCGGGGGCCAGTTGAGAGCCGTAAACGTGAACCTAATAGAGGTTGCTCTGCATGAGCCAATGTGCTTCGCCCTGTACCGGATATCCTCGCCTAGGCTCGTCCGAGAGTGAGTGCTGAAACCGTTTTTTTGGGGCTTCCTTGGGAAAGAAAGGCTTTGGCTTTGAAGGAGCTGCGAGTCAGGACCGAATGGAGGTGCTTGCAAGTTCCGTGTTTACTGGGTTGCCTTATTGGAGGAGACGAGTACCAAAAACTGACGGCTTGGAACTCAAGTCTGAGACCTTAGTCAATGTTTGTTGTCTGGTGGAGAGACATCAGCTTGAATTGGAGTTCAGAGTCTCAGCACCGTTTCTCTGCCGATGTAAGGCCGGCGGATTGCAATGTACACAGTGTTGACGGCACAGTGTCATGCAATGGCAGCGCTGTTTTGTTCTGGCACCTGTTTGGTGTGGCTGGCCTGGGTGCTTTGAGGTTTGGAGTCAATCCAAAGCCTTGTTGACCCTTTGTACGTTGGTTTGCATTTCAGGCTTGATTCCTATCGGTTCAAGAGATCTTCCGTGGGGCTGCAAGCATTGTGTTTCCAGCCTCATGGGGCTTATTATTTCGTATTGCAGTGCGGAGCAGGCATTGCCAACTGCGCAGACAGCACTGTGGCGTGGCAATGCAGCCGGCTGGGTGACTAAGCTGCCGGACGGCACGGAGGATCCCATGAGAGCTCGCTGCTCGTAGTTGCCTGGGTGGCAAGTGAATTTGGCAGCGGTTTTCCAGCCGTTCGTTGTTTTCGTGGCCTGATTCGTCTCGATTGGAGGAGTTGTGGGTTCACGGTGGCCACATGGAGCCGGGAAGTGCCTTGACTTCGCGCAGCCCGGGACGTACATATCCATTCGTGCAGAGAGCGCCATTCAATGTCAGGGCTGGTTGTGTCTCTTGCCAATCTCACCAATGCCAACAGTAAGCCAAGAAGAAATGTCACATGGCTCGGTTGATCTGGTTTGGTGACCATCGAAGTGTCGTTGGGTTGCAGTCTTTACAACTGTACAACAGTGTATCATGATCCATCGCAACTCCACTACACTACACGTCGTAACGTTTGCTCCTTTCTGCTTCGCAACTGCCGTTCAGAATTTCCTGAAATTACAGCCTATTGTTGCATGTAGAATTACTTCGTTTGTCATTTTCTTTGCTGTCTGAAGGATGTGTCTCTGTTATAGTTTTCGATTTTCTCTGAGCCGTACGACCACGAGTTTTGTCAAGCGCTGTGGTTCGAAAGCACGGCACTGGATAGATAGCTATATAGATAGATAGATAGATAGATAGATAGATAAATGAATATGTGTATATATATATATATACATATACATACATATATATATATACACACACATATATATATATATGTTATAGATATAGATATAGCTATAGATATAGATATAGATAAAGTTAAAGATAAGATATTGTGTGTATATCTATATGTATATATATATATGTATACACATTTCTAAACCTTAAAACCCAGTGTCAGGTCGTGAGGCCCAGCAGCGGGTGCTTTCGCTGAACTCCGAGCCCTCAAGGCTTATTCATCACACCGTGCGTGGCATCCAGGCTCCGGTTGAGGGTATGGGGATTTAGGAATTTTGGTTGTTAGGGTATCGGGGCTTAATCGCCTCCTCCTTAGGGCTTCGAGGCTCCAAATGCACGTGGAGCACAGTAGGAGCAAGAGAGCAAAAGCAACAGAAGAAGCAAAGGAGCAGGCGCAAGAGACGCGGCAGAAGCAGGAGCAAAAGCCAGCGCAGGAGCAAGAGCACGACCCCACAAAAGTGGCAGTAGAGAAGAATGCAGATTAAGAACAAAAACACTTTCAGAGATTTTAGTAGGGCCTCTAGAGGCTGCAGAAGTCATATGAGGCTGTGGATGAGTGTCTACTCGGCTATTAATTGTTTGTCTATTTTGCTTTCCGTTTCAGGGTAGATGATGGAATAGTCAATTAAATTGTTCGCTATTCTGACATATAGCCCATGCCCTGTTGAAGGACAAAATGTTGGCAATGTATATAGAATCGACAAACATTATTGAGTGACCACAAGAATATAAATGCACCTCCCAAAAATGCCTGATTGAAGGACAACCCCTTTCCGCGTTCTTCGAAAAGTTTGCCTTTTGCAGCAAACCAGCCTCTTTTGCAAATCTCGTTAGAACACAGATTAAGGATGGTGAGTATTGGGCTTCCCTGTACATGACCCTTTATACACCCAATGGCACGCATCACCGGTCATGATTCTCGAATGTTCTTGCAGTCACTGTAACCCTTAAACCCTAAACCCTAAACCGATGTTCTTAGGCATTTCCGAGTGTGAGTGCTGAAACCGATGTTCTTGTGCTTCCTGCAATAAGGCCCCCTTTCGGCACAGCTGTAAAGCCGCTCCTGGGTTCGTCAGGCTCTGCCGCCTGAGAACCTCAAGCTTGTTTTCTCCTACCTCTCTGGCCACGTGCTGGACCTGCTGTGAGGCGAGCTCTGAAGCTACCCTAATTATAATAAGGCGAGGTCTGAGGCTACAAAAATTAAGATAAGAAGCCCCAAGAAGTAGTATAGGTAATAGATTATAAGGCCCCTATGAGAAAAAACCCTATTCCCCGGGAAGCCTGAAACCGCCTTAAACCTTGACTCCGGGAGTCCCTTGGTTTCTGGAGCGGCCTTTAAAAGGGGGTCTGAAGAACGAGCCCAGTGACACACCCCTAGAGCCCCTTTCGGACTTTGATGGAGTGCACCCCCTTTGACATTAGTTGCAGCTTGGTTTTCTGGCGTTCCTATGCTATGCGCAAGAGATGAAAGCAGCTGAAGTTTCAAGACCAGGTTCGTGTTCCCCTTGTTGCCCACATCCCTGCCATGTTCTAGCGATGAGTTCCTTCTTCAGCCAGTGCACCAAGTCACAGTAAACCTATCCTTATATAAGCCTCCCGAAGCCGCCGAACGCGATCTAGGACTTGTACAAACAGGCCGCACTTGTGGAGCCGGCCAGATCCCGTGCTGAACGTGCAGTGACAAAGAGAATCACTCCCTGTTCAGTTTGCCCAGACTGCCTTGGAAGGCTCCGTTCTCAGTTATCCCTGATGAGGCAAGTGAGCCTCAAACCTTAGGTCAGAAACACCTGAAGGTCTTAAGGAAAGTCAGAATGCATGAAGTTGAGTCCCGGCAGCACGGCAGAAACCCGAAATGCCAAAGGGGCACAGTTACAGGGGCTAATGTAAGAAAAGGGGGGGGGTGTTAGCTGAAGGCTCATGGAATTGTGCAACGTTGGTTTTTGCGATTAGCCTGCTGCTCTTATCGTGGTCAGAGCACAAGGCAACGCTTTTTGGGACAGTCTCAGGCCTCGGGCCTCCGTAGCTAAACCTGCCCTACAAGAATCAATGAAGGTTCGTAAAATACCCCTGACTTATTGGGGCGTGGGCAGTCCTTCGATCCTTTGCAGGATGTTGGAGATCTCAAATCCGCATCTCGACATCCTAACAAACCTCGACTCTAGGGAGTCCCTTCATCTGGTATAACCCTACACACCCGCCGTGTAATCCCGAAGCCCAAGCCGTAAAACCTAGACCCCTGACCCCAAACCCCCAAACCGCATATGTACTATATGACTATCTGTAACCGGTAATTACTGTAATTAGTTCCTAAAGCCCGTGACCCCTGCGTAAGCCCCTCCATATCGCAAAGACATCGAAACACCCAGAAACCGTAGAAGTCGTTGATCGGAGAACTCCTGGGCTGAGCAGACGATCGTACGGATCGGGCGCTCGCCGGTTGAGAGAATCCTCAGGCCGTATAGAGTAGTTCGTACGTATTTCGTGCCTGACGATGTGTCGAACACACTCGACCAGCCCATATAGAAGCTAAACTCATCTAAGCCCTGCGGCTCACACCCGAAGGTGTTTGAGGTTTGGCAGCAACGGTGTCAAGGCTGACATTGTCAACCCAGTCTTTGTTAGTCAACCTTTGACGCTTCCGGACCTAGAGCCGCAAGCACCCTAAGCCCAGAAGATGACTCCTAAAGCCCCGAACCCTAAATCCATGCCCCCTGTTCCAGATCAACTCAGATAGACCCGAAAACCCTCAGCCTTACACCCTGAAGAGATGTGCCTTGTTCATCGATTTCCGGTGCTGTGCTACCAGAACATGTGCTTGAAGATAGGGACGTCCATTCCTCTCAACGGGTGAGTTGCCGTCTGCTTTTGCTGTCAGCCGCATAGAGACGCATGGTCGGAGCAGGTGGGCAGTGAGCAGGGAAGGGCTATTGCAAGCGCTGTGAACAGCGTCATCCTTACCTCAATCATTCTCTACGCTTGCCGGCCTGCAGGCGCCTTAATATAGCGATGCATATTATAAGGATTTTGCAAACGGAGGTACTGAAGCAAAGGAGCTTTGCATGGGAAATTTGAGGCAGACATCACCCCAGAGCTTTGAGAGGTTTTGCCTTGAAGTAGTCTCTGCAGTTGCACACCATGCGCTGGCCATTTGACTCTCAACGCTGCTGAATCAAGAACCGTTTTTTGGATTCGCAGGTGCTGCTGCAGGCGTCCTAAGCCTATCAGCTGAAGCCCAGAGCACCTGCTTTGACTTTGAGAACTTCAACTCTTGTATGCTCTTATGCGGTTTTCTGGAAGTTTCTGGCCGTGTTTCTGTTTACAGTTTGCACTCCAACGTGCATGCGTAGCATATAGATACGATGCACATATATATATATATGTATCAGATCTGTCTATCTGAGCTTGGTATCTGCACTGTGTCCGCTCATACGTTTGAAGTAGTCCTTCGTGTGCAGGTGCGCCAGCATATCTGCAAAACAGACATACTGCCGTATTCCGAGCATCAGGTGGTGTTCTGGGCACAGCTTCCCGCACAGCAGGTTACAGTTTCCGTTTCAGAGGACGACAGCCGTGCAGCCAAGCATTCGGACTTGGCCTAGGGTCGGGGCTTAGAGTCTGGGGTTTAGATCATCGTGAGCCCGAAGCCAAAGCGGTTCTGGGGTTTAACGAGTGGCACGAGAGTTTCAGCGCACGGTATGGCCGGAGGCCAAGCGAATGCTACGCTGAAGATATTCCTTAGATGGTTGTTTTGCTCTAGATGCCCGAATTCTCTCAGGTTTGACGACAGGGGCCTTAACATTTCGAGCTTCCCAAGTTGTGATAGCACTACTGACTTCTAGTTGCTCAAAGCGCTGCCTTTGCGTGAGTCAAACTTACCCAACCCCCCGGGTTAAGGGTTCAGGGGTTTAGGGGTGGGGATCGGCCTTCAGGGACGGAGTTTGCGATTTTTTTTAAAGGAGGGGGTAGGGTTTTCGCTTGAGGAGATGAATTGCTGGGTTGTTGCTGGTAGATGACATACTAAGTCAGCATTTGACAGTAGCATCTCTACAAGCGTGGAAAGAAGAGACAGTCATGGTAGTGTTTTCTCCAAAAATGTAGGTGCCGTCCTTGTATGTTATAAGGTCCATGACGGTCTGCTAGCTTGGGCCTTTGGCTCAAGATCCAGTCGCGCTTCAGAAGGCTCAGAATCAGCCAACCAAGCAGTCCTTCGATGTACACGTTATGTGGCCGAATGTGACTGCAGAAGCCCTAGCCTGCCAAGCATTTGGCATCACCGCAGACACTGGGGCAAGCTACCGCAACTCCGGAAGCTGACATGACACTCCAGACGTTTTGTGGCACATGCGGCACATACCCTTTCATCATCATTAGCAGAAGATGGCACTTGCTCCTCAGACAGTGCATGACTTTCTCAACAACATGATGAAAACTTGTGGAAAGTTGTAGTGCCGTAGACAGTTCAATCGAAGAGCTGATGAAGCCGTTGTCCAGGCCGCATTTTTGGGTTTGGGGTGCTGAGTCTTGACATTGCTACTTCCCTCAGCCTGGAAAAGCTTACTTTGGGTGGGAGCCGACAAGGACGCCAGTCAAGAACCAGCGTCTGTAACCAGCAGTCAATGCCAGTGATTAGTGTGTTTTCATGTTATCCGGGATGTAGTAGAACAACACAGCGGGTGCGATCCTCAATGCTTGTTCTCTTCATACCCAAACGTGCTCTCTTGGTGTTCTAGCGTCATGTTGCATGTTGAAATCAACCTTAAGTGCATCAAGCTCAAGGCAGTCAAGCTTGTGTCTTCCATCACACACATCCTGTACCTCTACGAACAATCCCGTCCCCCAGAAGCACCGGATGCTCGCTCTTCGGAGATGGTGCTGCAGAAAACCCCAAGCCCCAGAAGTCTGTTAATGTAGAAGTCTTAACAAGTAGCATAGGGTTTTGGGGTATATTCTACTATCACTATAAGGAGGAACCCCCAAAAGAGTACAGCTAAGGACCCTAGATTACAACAATCCTTGAAAGCTGCAGGTCCCGAATTTAGATCA